TGCCATAAACATACCATCTGGCCTGTTTTTTTAATTATTGCATGGAAACATATTCCTAGATATGATTCTGCTTGGGTGAATAAACTATAATTTCACCCTTTTGCAATGAAGTCACACAGTAAGCAAGATCATTAACACAGATGCAGCACTAAGTTATGTCTTTGTAACAGCAATGAGTGCCATCACCTTTTCAGATGTATTTCCCTTGCTTTCTGTTGTTTTAGAAAATGAAGCAGTGGATCAGCCTAATAGGAGAATCAAACCTTTAACACCAAGAAGAAATTGGGGGGGTTGACCAAAGTAAATGAATTGCAAAGCAAAGGCTCTGCTGGTAGGAACACATCTTATTTGACCATAAGACCATTAACAACAAGAAGCCATAGAAACGTTTTCAACACCTTATATCCAACAAGTCAGAATATGTACACTAGAAACCGTTAATGAAGGCAATCCACAAGGGCAGCACTGAAAGCCACAGATTTTTTTTTCCTTCAATACAAAAGACCAGAGAACATCTCAGTACCAAAAAGAAACTGCCCAAATGGCAGGAGAGGATCTGAGTCAATGCAAGGAGTATTTAACTCAGTCCTGCACTGGAGACCTGCCATTCTCACTTCCTTTTATGTGGGACTTCCATTTGGAAGCAAGAGAAAGAGAAAGAAGGAAAGATGACTGGAAAGATACATAGAAAGAATTGCAGGTCACCTCCTCCTAACATACTGATTGGCATTAAATGATGGCAGGGTACCAACATTGCCAAGAACCTGTTGTCTTCAAACAATGCATTTCAAACTGTCCCCTTTTGCCACTATTGAAACTCAGGAATTTTTTTCCTGCTTAGAAGCTTTTAAGAAAAGCATACATACTCTGGAACTGCTCAAGTACTTTCTCATTCACCAGTGCTACAGGGCTGTTAGCAGGCTGTTGGTTTACCCTAAGATCCCATAAGTCTCCTAGAGCTCAATTACTCTTCCATTAGGACTTAAAACCAATCCAAAGCTGACAAACTAGGAGAAGCCATGCAAGCTGAAGTATAGACAATTCACAGCATATATCAAATGGGGAGGCACCACTGCTCAGCTTCTGTCATGACTATATGGTAAAAATATTTGCCCACAAGAGTTGTGTCACCAGTGGGAGAAGTTAAAGTAACAAAGACAGCACTCTCCCAGGACAGGGATCTAGGAATACTGAATGTGGTCCTGACCACTGTGAAGAATAATAGCGTTTCTGCAGGACCTATTTCTGCAAGGCATTCTTCCCTCTGCAAATTCTTCACATATGCAAAGAAGCAAATAAGGAAGGCAAAGTAAACCTCTGTAAACTAAGCTATTTTTCACAGGGTTTGGAAAATAAAGGAGGGGGTAAGAAAGCAGAAGGGCATTTTTTTTCTTTCTATTTTTAAAACCTTGTGAAGAACTTAGAAATTATGGCAATATTCAGCCACAGAAGTACCTAGATGGAAAAAGTATTCACAAGGTAGTTTTTGATCTTAATTATGATTTCTGATTCAAGTGAATGGCTGAAAACTAGACCACTGGATACAAACCTCTAGTCTGTGTCTGATTCATCATATCCCTGTTCAAAAGTGTAGCCTTCTCAGGGCAAGTCCTGCTCCCAGTGAAATAAAAGTGAGTTTTGTTACTGATTTTAGGAGCAGGGAGAACATGATTTTGTTTTCTGAATTCAGTTGCAGAGTCTAAAATGGTGAGGTTAATAGCACTGACCCACCTTGGAGATCACAAGATGGAAAAAGAGAAACAAGCCAAGAAAAATTAAGGACTGGATAGTTTAGATGCTAAATTGAATCAAGAATAATTCTGGAAACTTTGTAAATATTTTTACATTTATGCAATTTCAGAACCTAGGCAAGGCAAGATACACAGGAGTAGTTAGAAAAAATAGAGCTTTGCAGTACACAAGCACTGCTTCAAGACTTTCATGTTTCTGCTATTTTGAATCTTGGCAATAACAATATTACTTTTGCAGCTTGAAGTTCTCTATGTTGGCATTTTGACAACAAAATGCTAGACAAAGACAGATCTTAGTGGCTCTGTCATTGTGGAATAATGATCAACATGGATAAAACCTAAGTTTAGTAGCTATGCTGTAAAGAAGTGTCTGGAAGTGTTGACTTTTGCAGGATTGTTCCATAGAATGCCTTATCTTTAAAATATCAAGGAATAATAATGAAACCCCCCCACCAAAAACAAATAAAACCTCAGCTGCAAATTTTGCTGAAGCAATTTTAAAAATAGTTCTCTATCCTATTGTGGGATCAGTTTTCCCTGGAATGGCTTTTATGTTCAAAATATCTTGAAATACTTGTTTCTTGGCAGAATTTTCACTGAACCTTAGATGAGACTTATTGTCTGTGTGTCCTTAGGAAGCAGTCTCTAGAGGAAAAGGGAAAAAAAAGCACTGTTAATTATAGTGTGGGGACACACTGAAAATTCCTACTGGCTTACCAAGTGTGAAACAAGTATTGCAGAGTAAATTACATTTTCTTAAGAATGAACTGAAAGGGGTGAAGAAGTTGATCCTTAGCCATAGCTGGTGCTTCAGTGCAGCTAACTGCAAAGCCTCAGAATGAGGTTTTGCAACTCTTTTGTGAGTTAGTTAAATGGAGAGAAAGTCCAGACTCTATAAGCTTTAACCCCAAAGAAAGCAACTAATCTACTGGATCACAACGTTAGCTGACATAAACCAGAGCTGCTTTACTGGCTTCAAAGAGGATGCGCTAATTTACCTCACTTGAGGGTTTGGCCAAAAGCTTTTTTATACCTGAAAGACCAATCATTTTATTTGCATTTTACAGCATTGAGTGGGAGAATGGAAAAGGAAGGGCTTATAGTTTTCTTACCTAAAAATAGACAGTGTGTTGATAGCAGAAAACAAGGTTTGCAAACTGTATTTTACAGAAAAAAAGAACTGTACTTACTGTTTGATGTAATGAAATGTAATCTCACAACTGCTTTTTATATAACCTGAATTGCAGATTATTCAAGGTACCACTGATATATAAGATGAATGTTTACCTCTGATTTTAATATGATTATAATAATCTCTAAATAAGATTAATCAACACTAACCAAACTTTTATGGAAGATGGAGTGGGGGAGAAGAGAAATACCCAGTGTCTGAGAAGATAAAGGTCTACAAAGCAGGTAATTTATTTAAGGAACTGCAGAAGGATTTCTGAGGTGTCTCATGTTGACTGTGCTTTTATAAATACAAAGGCTTTGCTCGACAAACACAGTCTCCGTCCAGTGCTCCCGATTTCTTTGCTTACCTCTTAATTTACAACGTACACACTGTCTGAAAGAACATGGGAAAGTCATACTGGGATAAAAGGATACCAGTGCTCACATCATTGGAAGGATGCAAAGGATAGGAGGGGAAAAAAAGATGTCTGTAGTTTTGTGAGTCAAAAAAGGATTGTTATTTCTCATTTCAATCATGATGGTTTCACCAAGACTCTGACTGATTTCTTATCCCTCAACTGCAGAGGCCAGCATTTTGCAGGCTGTAAAGTGTTCAAATTTCAATAGATGAACCATAGTAATGGGTGAATCTGTTGTTCTTTTTATATTTATACAACACCATTCCTTGAGGTCTGAGCCATAACAGGCTCAATGGAACATTATTAGGACAATGAAAATGAAGAACACAAGTGTAGAGGAATCAGAGGTCTTTGTAGGTTTAAAACAAGGACCAGGAGAGGCTACAATGACCACCCTCTTAAAAGTCAGGTTAGTAGTCTGCTATATAGTAAAAGGCAAAGCAAACACATATCCTAAATGATGCTGAGGGAGGTAAAGACAGAAAGCCAACAAGCAATCGTTGATGGATCACACTAGGATCACACTGGGTTACACACCCTTGTCAGCTCACTCTGATGAAAGGAGAAAGAACTAGGAAGAGACAAATAGACCTTTTGTTAAACCTGAATTTTTAAGACCAGAGTTTTAATTTGTGAGCAGCCAACACAAAAGGAGAATTGTGGAGGTATTAGGACAGAATTTAGAGCTTAAGAATAATGGAGAAGAAAATTGGAAAATAATTAACACTGGTAGGAAACCAGGCCCAGACTAAATTAAGGGAGTTGGAGAAGGAATGACTCCCTAAAAGCAGCTATGCAACATGCCCCTAAAATTAATACATGAAAAGGAGCAGCAGATTTTATTTGAAAAGAAAAAGATTATGTTTAAAAATAGCCCACTGTCAGCTTCTCTATAAACTTTTTAGTGAATTGACTTGTGGTTTCTCAGTTATTCCATATTTTTAATGGACTTTGTAGGAGTTTTTGAGAGAAAGACAGTAAACGCAGCTCTCCTCCTCTCAGGTACTGTTAAGTCTGTTTCTGAATACATAAACAATTCTCAACCAAATATTCAAGACAAATGCAGGCAGTTCAAAAGCTATTTAGACAAGTTTATTTGCTGCTGAAAATTATTTTAGCTCTATTGCAAACTTGAAATTATACAGCTGTCATTTGGTTCCTTGGATATTCCTGAGGTAATTACTTCTCTGTTATTCATAGTATATAAGCAATTGCATATGGCTTTCTGTTCCCTGAACAGTACCTCAAATTTTACAAATGACAGCAGGTTAAAAAGACCTGTCAGAATTCCACTTGCTCTCACTGTAACATAGCTTTACTCATCATGGATTAGAAAAAGCCAACATGAATGCACTGATCTTTGTGGGATCCCCAGCTATTTCTCCAGTAAAAGGATTAGCGAATAACTGCTGAGTTGCTTTCTAGCTGGAACTTCACTTCTTCCCACCCCTTAAAAAATTGTTCTCCTCCACTAATCTTCTGAAATTATTTATTTTCTAAATGTACATTCTGTTATATTCCTGAGTAATGTTATTGTCAGGCTTCCACTTTGACAAATGTCTGCAGTGATGAGTTTGGCCTGGGTGATCACCAACTACACCTGATAATTAAGGTCGACCTGCTCAAGTCAGCCACAACAAAGTCTTTCACAAAGCTCTCTTGGTTCCTCTTTGTTCTTCCTGTTCTCTTTCCTTTTTCCAACCTTGAAGTTTTGCTGAAATACCTCATTCTCTTTCAGTTCAAGTGAAACCACCAGCATATCACAAGAGAAGATGCCCATGTCCAGAGCACACAAACTGAAGTGTGGAAATGTACCAGTAGAAGGTAGCAATTCTCACTGTTTGGCCTACTCTTTCATGTAGAGGTTAGGGACTTTAACGAAATTCAGTTGTCATTTCTAATCCCACCATAGGTACTGACTGTTAGAAATGCCACTGAACCCAGAAGAGGCTTTTCTTAGACGCAGGGATGTATATAGACGTGACCTGCACATATCAGCATTATGAATGCGCCAGATGACCTGGACCGATTGCGAACTAGCTGTTTGTTCTGAACTGAGTCAGGTCACAATTTATTGCAAAGAGTACAAAGGGTCTAAATCTACTAAAGAGTTTATTTGCAAATAGGTCATGGGACCTATGGCTCCACCTACAGAAATGTTAGTGATAGGACTTTAAATGAAGAAAAATCTGGATATACAACAGCTATAATTTTCTAAAGCACCCTTTTCTGGTGTAAAGTGAGTACGTCATCTGAGTTTAAATACTAAAATATACTGAGGCTAGTTTGGGGCTGCCTGTGGTAGTCTATAGAAACATACCTTAGGGCTAGACATCTACACAGTGACATATCCATCATTCAGGCAACAAGTTTATTCAATTTCTGACACTGGCTGGAAAATAAACTATAAAAAATAAAACTCACTGTTTAGAGGCTAAATGGGTTAAATTTATTAAGAAGTGCTCTACCTCCTTGGATTAGGAAGACAGGAGCAATTTATTTGCAAGCAGGAAAATGACAATTAAGTTTTTGAATTTTGTACTAGACCAAAGTATATGAAAAAAAAAAATAGCTTGTTTATAGCATGAAAAAGTCAAAATCCACCATAAACCAGGCAAGGGCAAGAAGTGCAGAACTGCAGTGTGAACACTTAGTAATACTGGCCAGTATCTTTCTAAACTGTCTGCTGGACTAGTCTGTCTGGAGTAAAAAGCTAGCATGTGGAGCAGAACACATGATTTTCTTCCAGTGTAATGGATTCAAATGTCCATGATGGTTAAGTATATTTTAATAAAGTCACAAATATTAGACAAGCAAGGCAATACATCTATCCACAGTAAATAGCACAGAACAATAACATCAGTTTAAAGTTGTACACTGTTTTCTATAACTACATGTATATGTAATTATGCCTAATCTTCACCATTGGAACTGGAAAATGCTGAGGCACTTTCTATAAGATAAAGAACCAGCAAATCTGATTCTTCTTTTAAACGACAGTTATTTTACCAGAAAAAAAAAATAAAAACAGATCTTCCAAATTTGGTAGGAAAGACAAGAATTTCAAAGCATCAGCGTGCCTCATTTCAAAGATACATCAGAAAAAGGAGACTACAGCTTCTATATAAAATTCAGGCATTTCAAACATGGTCAGAAAACACTTTATCCTCTTAAAGGTATGGATCATAATCTTGTGGAGTGGCCCTTCCCAGTCAGGTTGTTCCCATGGAAAGCAGGCATCCTTAAAAATATCCAGAGAGATGCCAAAAATGATAAACAATACCTCAAAAATCAAGACATAGATTGTGGTTTCCCTTGCTAGAACCCCAGATTGCTTACCATACTGCTACCACAAATCTTTGCTTTTCGGGATCCCAAAAGGAAACTCTATACTGCTTTGTCTTTTTTTCTGACTCTTCTTGTGTTTTCTCTTTCCTCTTTGAGTTTTATTAATTCTTTTAATCCCTCAGAAACATTCAGTTCCTTTAGTACCCTGCTGTTCTGTGTGAATAGAGGGGAAATCTTGTCTTCTTCCAATGGGATTGTCAACTTGAGGGTAAATATTACTAATTGTTCCAAGGAAACAAGCTCTTTTCATGACAAACATACCTGAGCTGAATTTCATATTGCCCTGCATGACGAGACTGCACATTTCTCAAGATCAGTGTGAAGATATCTTCATTTTGCAGGATTTCACATGCTGTTCCTGGCACTATTTCTTGCCCATCTTTAAGCCAGTGAACAGTGGGGAAAGGATCTCCAGCAATGGCACAGGATATAAGGACGTTTTGCCCAGGAGCTGCTGTTACTGATCTTGGTTTGCTAATGAACCAGGGCTGGATTCCATCCTGAGGTTCTGTAGTTTACAAACACAGTTTACAAATCAGGAGAAAATGCCAAGCTTGAATGTAACTAAGAAGCTAACTAATTTCAGGGAAAGCAATCACAAACAAGCAAAGTTATTTTGAACATGCAGGGAATAAATTTTTAATCTGAAAAGGAGTCAGGCTTTAAATTTTGAAGTAACTTGTGTTGGTACTAAAATTAATCATTTACTTGGCACTTTACTGGCTCAACCTAGAGGAAAACAAAGGGACTTTAAAGCTGCCCTAAAAGGAATCTTGAAGATTTGTCCTTACAGAATACGGTAGGAATAGCTTTAAGGGCAAGTGACAGTACAATGACTGCTGTGTAGCTGAGAGCTCATGTAATAAATCATCATTAACAATTGGATAAAGTTGCATTTAATATAGAAGACTGACCCTGAGGCTAGATCTCAGGGGAACTTAGAGAATAGAGAAAAGTCTGAATTCAGAGCAGACAGTGGCAAAAGGCTACAGACCCACCCCTGGAGGCACAGCTCTCTGAAATCCTGGGGTTAAGATCCTTTACATTAAAAGTAATAAAATTCTCCCACTGATTTCCAATAGTTCTCAGTAATGACTATGGGAAAAAGTTGGCATACAGTAAGCTTAGACAAAGTGCCCTGTCACGAAGGCAGTGAATGCCCAGTCACAGGAAGTCTGGCGGCACTGCAGTGTTTACTGTGGGATTTACATCATATATGGAGATTTGAAGCCAACTTATTTGCAGCTAGTTCTCAAATTGCAGAAATCATGTGTTCCTCACCTCCTGCCACTACAATGTTAATATTAAAGCCAGGATACCTGGCTCCTAGACAGCTTTTCCGAATCCTCAGGACTTAATTAGAAAGAAAAACATAATTAAATGGCTTATATGAAGGCCATAGATAAGTAAGCCTTACAGTTATAATTTGAAGCTGCGTTTAGCAGAAGTTTTACACAGTCCCTAGGAATAGGACTCAGGAATGCATTTTTGAAATAGTAACATAATGTTCCAGAGTGAAAAGATTTTTTTAAAGTTGCTTCTGCTCAATATCCTTTTAAATTCAGATGCAGAGACTGAGAACTCCTAGCGTCCTTCACAACAGACTTTATAAACACTCATGTACTTTAAATAGACACTCATCCAGCACATTAGAATTATTCCCTTTTAGCATTTCCTAAGGTGGAAAAGAACTTTATACCTTGTACTGTCAATGTAGCCTGGGTTTGAGTTTCTCCTAATTCATTCCAGGCTTCACAGGTGTATTTCCCTGTGTCTTCAGGAAATACTTCCTGGATGTACAGACTGTACTCATTGCCTTTCTTCTCAAAGTGGAAATCTTCTGTCTCCTGGATTTCTTTCCCGTTGTGCAGCCAGATAATTTCAGGAGGTGGGTTGGCTGAAAAAAGGTAAACAACGAAAATCAGAGACACACACTAAAACCCCTACATATTGATTAAGAAAATGAACAACGTTTGTTGTTTTCTGCCACCTGATTCTGCAGTTTCATCTTCAAAACATTCAGGAATTTCATTAACTCTGTCAATGCTGTGTAATGTGGAACAGTTCTAAGTCTGTCTTATTACAGTTAAAATACAAATGAATAAAGGAAGCATGCATACAATAGAGAGGGAGAATGACTTCTAGATCCCACGGAGGCAGTTATCGAGGGTTTCATACCAGGACTGCTCTTTTCTGCAGCGCTAATCTTTCCCCAGCTGACAGGAATTCAATCTTGTTTTGTTCACAACAAGAGCTATTACACGTCTGCTGAGACTTAGATTTAGTTCAACAGCAGAACCCAATAATAACCTGATTATTGTTATTATTATTATTCCAATAAAGAAACACTTGTACAGGTCTGAACACATTAACATTGGACAACGTTCATCCACCCTGGACATCAGATTAGACAAACCTAGCTTTCACTTTTAAAAAATAGGTTCCTTGAAATATAATTTCCAAACACAAAGATACCTGCTAAAAGAAAAGAGTGGAAAAAAGCACATACTTTGCAATAGAACTTAAAATTTTAAAATAATACTGTTGTATAGCTACGCACCTGATACCTCCACAGTCATTATCACTTGACTTCCATCCATTACTTTGAGGTCAGTCAGGCTTTTAAGGAAGATGGGTGCAAAAGTCTTGTTTAACTTGGCAGCCTGTGCACTTTCTGCCTTCTTGCTGCTCTTCTTTTCTGTGAAGTCAGAAGGAGAACAAAAGGGGTGTCTCAGTGTAATTTTCATGATGAATTTTAACTGACCTTAGGTTCAAACTGATTTTGAGTCAGTGGTCTTGTTTCAGCTCCCAGAAGACAAAAATCACTGAAACCACCCAGTATGGCTGTTTTGTCTTGCCAGTAATCCAAGCAGAAAGACAAGAAATTGGAATAGAACTGTCCTTCCTCCAGAGATCCTCCTACATCATTGTTAACAGATATCACAGAATATCACACAGAAATTTTCACTCATTTTCCCCAATTACACAAGTTCAGGTGCAAAAAAAAAAAAAAAAAATCCCAACAACTTGTAACCAACACTTCGATGCCTTTAATCACTGCTAAATTCACATAAAAATCATAATCTATGTTACAAATTGCTATTCTTGTGATTGATGAGTTAAAAATGTAAAATCCCAGGAATATAGGATACATTACTCTGTATGAAACTACAGATCATTTAGATTGCTAGACAGTCAATATCAAATGGGTTTGTGTTCTCCATACTCCCCTTCTGTATTAACCGTAACCGACTGATGGGAAACTGCTGATGGGAAAGACTGAAACCTGAGGATATCAACATATATCACAAAACAAACTGTTGAATTAGGGCTTTTTTTTTTTTTAATTCTTTTTTGAGGCTGTACAATCAAATGATGTGTGCTGCAGTTAAATTAATCACTCTTAAAATTAAGTCTAGCTGTGATAGCTATGTAATTTTGGTATCAACAATGGTCTCCTCTGTCTTGGATTCAGAGGCTGTGAAGAAAGATCATTTAACTGTGGCCTGTATGGTACACTAGACCAAGAAAGATACTTCTGCTTTAAAAACCTGAGCAAAGATACTTCAGAAGCCAAAGTAGTGATCATGACCAAATGTAAAAAGTCATAAATATTTATTGGTCACTTGGATACACTTTTTGTTTTGTTTAGCTTGAGTTCAGACCTCTTACGTCTTGCCTTTGAAATGACAACCCTGCTTTCGAAGTCCATACATGCAAATAGCTTCATTTAGGTTATTTCTACCTTCAAAATTTTCAAAGGTCTATCAAAATCATCCAAAATAGTTTTATAGCAACATGAAGTGCCAGGTTGGAAAAAGACCACAATTCATAAAAGGATGGTGATTAGAAAAGCTGAAAGCATCTCACTAAGCAAGTCCACTGAACCTCCTGGAGGCAAAAAGTTAAACTTGTCCCAGGGTTATTTGAGCTCAGTGTAAATTTGGAAGCTGCCTGGAGAGGAAGTTTTTCCTCTTCTCTAGCAAAGTTTTTTCTAGCCAAAATCTCGTCTTGCAGGTTTGTGTCATAGGTCTTTGCTTAGATCTGAGCAGTGAGACATTCATACATGTGAGAATGGAAATAAAGGACCTGACTGAGACCCACTCAGATTGGTGTTACAGACCCGCTACTCTGAAATTCCCAATTCACCATGAGGTCATTTTGATCAGTCTTAGGGCTTCCTATAGCACCTGCTTGTAACTGACTAATGCTGTACAGAAAATAGCCATGAAGTTGGGTTAAACCTGTCTACAGTAATAAACTGCTGTGGTTCACCATATTCCTCTGGTTTGTACTGTTTACTCAGGGAAACTGCTGCAAACAACTGCTAGACTAAGGAACATCAGCACATACTCCTTCACTACTCTAATGTCTTGCAGAAAATCCCCTTCTTCCTCAAACTAAAACAGCCTTGGGAGGGAAAGCTGAAATCCATATAGTGGGTAAAAGAATTAAAAGAAGAAAAGAGGAAAAGGAGGAAAAACAAGAAAGTAATAAGCCATCAAAGAGGTGAGACACCCTGAAGGTGTTCAAAGCCAGGCTGGATGAGGCTTTGAGCAACCTGATCTAGTGGAGGGTGTCCCTGCCCAGGGCAAGAGGGTTAGAACTCAATGATCTTTCCGGTCCTGTCCAACCCAAACCGTTCTGTGATTCTATGAAATTGAGAAGGCAGACATGCAATAAAAGGAGAGCAGGGAAAGGAAAATAAAAGCAGACTTGTGGTTCTAGACCAACAGAAAAACAGACAGAAAAATCAGAAAAGTTCAAGTCTTCAGACAAGATCTGAAACAGCTCCCATGAGAGAGTTAACGTCGACCAGGAAACAAATAAATTAGTAGTGGTTCTAACAGCAATTCTCCCAGCGCAGACTGAGGTGCCTCCAGCACAGCCCTGCTGCAAACAGCATTAAGTACTAACAGCACTCCACATCCCTTGCAACCGGCTCTTTGCTTTATTAGACTGATGTGCTTGTTCCATGTAGTCTAAATAAAGGAGTTTCTGTAATCAAGGAAGACAATACAGCATAACAGGCTCAGCGTATTAAAAAGAAATGGGTGGGAAACTACTGAAGTAATAGAGCAAAATCAATTCCCAAAAGGGATGTTTCAGCAACACTAACTCCTCCAAAATATGTGCTGCAGAAATACAAATTTCATGTACTGGAAAAAAAAACCATCTTGCACAGAGCTGCATAACTATTAAAAGGAAGCAAGCAAATAATTCACAACAACTGCATATATGAATCACAAACTCAACAAGATTACAAAAAAGTTGGGCCTCAGTTTCTGAAGTTATCTCAGACAGATGTATCCTATGCTGGTGAGGAGACCTACTGATATGAGTGAAAATTACGAAAATTTCCTGGGGATGCAGGCCTTTATGGCTAAAGAGTGACCTGCAGAATTAAAGAACGAAGAACTTGCCATTGTTACTGATCAGTGCTCACTATTTGTAAGTGAAGCTGTCAAATTGACATGAAGGGGACTAGAACCTGCCTCACCATCTCACAAATCTTCAAAATAGCATTTATACTGAATTTAAGTACTGCATAGGTTTATGCTGGTCTCTTGTATGAAGGCAAGTTCTATGCTTAAACAGAAAATTATGATGGTAAATATCAAAAAACAAGAAGTCTATGGTATATGAGTAGTAAAAACTTAATGGGTACAGCTTCAACAGTGCAAGAAAAGTTACTAAGGAGAGGAAAGAGTTATTTCATTAAGGGAAACGGAATGTAGTCACACAGAGGAACATTAAGATGGATTATTAAGTCCAAAATATTGAAAACTTGAGGATTACTCAGACAAAAACAAAGGCAACTTTTTATATCATATTTTTTCTGAAGACATTCCTATCCTTGTAAAACTATCATACACCAATGCACATACACTTTTAGTTCTTGAAGTAATACCTGATTTCTCAACACCTATTACAAAGCAGGAGTAAAAACATCTCCCTTTCTATTGCTGATGTTCTTTGGAGCACAGGGGCAGTGAAAGCATTTCTTTACCAACAGAGATGAAATTTGTTGTAAGAGCTCAAAAAATTAGAAGCTATCATGCCTAAGACAACCAGTTTTATTCTTCAAATGGGTGACATCCATTAGAAGCTAGCATGGCTAAGGGTGGCATCCACGATACAGTAAATATATGGCTAAAAAGACTGAGTCTGGGGCAACTTGAACAAGCTTCCTTCAAAACACAAGCATTCTCCCCTACTTTTTAATTTTTTTTTTTTTTTAATGAGGATCTCTGCTCTTATGCCACTGTTGTTCAGTAGTACATGTTGTTCAGTATCATATGTACCAACAAGCAGAATGTTACCAAAATTGTCTAATGTTTCTTGACTTGGCACCAACAATTAGAAAGACTGAAGTTTTAATCTATAAATGTTACTTGTTCATTAAGTAACCATAGGGGCTCATTTTATGTAGCATTCTTCCTTTACTAAAAATTTGATATTGTGGACTTCTAGACTTAGAAAAAAATTAAACTGACCTACTGACAACTTTAGTTTCTAGCAGATGTTTTACACAAGACAAGACAGCCAGTTTTAGATATATTACTTAGTGTTATTTAGTCTTAGTCTAAAATTGTTGCATTTTCTCAGAGGGCACTGTTACAATCATGCAGAGACCAAATTACAAAGCCTGAATGTTAACTATTTTCAAATTCTTCTGAAGCTTGTGAATGCTTTTAGTTGTTTATCACATAGCATGATACAGCTCCTCTAATGAAGGCTTTCACATTTCACAATTTTACCATGAGATAGCTGTGCTATGCATTTACACAGCTTATTTTAATATACCTAAGGGCTTCAATTTCAGCCTTTACAGCTCTTGTTTGGAAAAACAGCAAGCAATCTGATTTTGGAGGATACTTGGGAAAAGAAGAGACTCTGCTCATTCAAGATTAAATAACTCTTGTTCCCATTTATGGTGAAAAGACCCTGTGTGATTCTACTTCCTTTTGAAAACACTTGGCTAATTATTCTGCTAGGAAAGTAATACAAAGAAAACTGTACACAAAAAACCAGCTTCAGAAAGTGTAACAACTGCAGGAGTTCACATTCCCTGGCCATAGTTAGGTGCTAGCTAGTCTCATACTTCAGTAACAAAATCTGTGACTTGCACCAGGAAGATGGAGAGCAAGGAGATAAGAAAAACAGGACACAAATAAGCAAGCTGCACACAATGAAAGGCCAGTAATAGGGTTTTGTTTCCCTCGTTCCTCCAAAGCCCCTTTCTCCACATCAGCTCTGCTGGGGTTCAAAATTCATATACTTTTCAGGGACAGCTCGCTTCGAAGCCCAAGCCAGGGGCAAGGAAGAGAAAGAAAGCACAGGTACAACTCCAAGTTCAGATACTGCAAGTCATTATGCTTCTGACTGAAGCAACCTCTTTCATAACACTGCAGGGTATTTTTGCTGCCAAAATTACAGACAATAAAAATATGGCACATCTGGCACCAGAAAGGAAATATGGAACCTAAGGAAAACTTTGTCTGACATTAGCATAAGGATATGACTTTTTTATATATTTACGCATCCTCAAGCTTAATCTGGATGTGAAAGAGAGGAGATCCAATCTCTTCCTGTTATGTTAATGCGCTCTAATCACCTATAGCCATTTAATGTCTCCCTCACCACTCTTTCTTCTTATTACTTTCAATTAGGAGTAGATTCACCTCAAAGAATGGA